AGAGATGGCTCAGAGGTTAAGAGCATTGCCTGCTCTACCAAAGGTCCTGAGTTCAATTCCCAGCAACCACATGGTGGCTCACAACCATCTGTAATGGGGTCTGGTGCCCTCTTCTGGCCAGCAGGCATACACACAGACAGAATATTGTATACATAATAAATAAATAAATATTAAAAAAAATTAAAAGGAAAAAGGGAGAACGTCTCGTCACACAGTCCAGGTGGCTTCTGCCTCTCTCTGCCTGCCACATACTGGAATGACAAGTATCATTCAGTTCACACTAAGACTTTTTTCTAATTTATTTTAATATTTTTTATTATGTGTATATGTGAGGGACTGGACTGTTTTTTCTCAAAGTAGAGCTAGAGATGGTTGTGAGCTGACCACACAGATGCTGGGAACTGAACCTGTCCTGCAGAAGAGCAGCAAACATTCTTAACCACTGAGATATCTCTCCAGCCCCAAGAGATTTTTCTTTCTTTTCTAAGACTCTCTCCGAGCTAAGAGGGTGTTGTTTGTTTATCTGTTTTTGAGATAGTCTCTCTGTTGCCTAGTTAAACCTGGAACTTACTCTGTATCCCAGCCTGTCCTTAAACTCAATCTTCCTGCCTCATCCTCAATTGAGGGAATGACTATGTCTGTGGGAATAAAGGCTACGCTGCCCAGATTTCAAGGAACTAGCATCCATAAATACTTAAAATCTGTATTCTGTTGGTTCTCTACTAAAATGTTATTTTCGGGCACTGACGTCCACAATGGTGAAGAGCCTCCCCAGCTATTTGGGGACAGGTAGGTAGTTAGTGGGGAGGACATAAATTAACTCCCTTCCCAGGAAGTCTCCAAGAGTGACAACCAGCACCCATATGGAAGATCAAGGCACCTGTGGGGTCAGCCCTGACAAGAACCCACTTGAACAGGGCCAACCCTTCATATGGGCACATGGGTCCTCTTCAGGAGATGGCACTTCGGCTGGAGAAATGACTCATTGGTTAAGAACACTGGCTGCTCTTCCAGAAGACCTGAGTTTGGTTCCCAGCACCAACATGGCAATACACAGCTCCAGTCCCAGGAGATCCGATGCCTACTTCTGGCACCAGGCGCACACAGTATATAGACATATATGCAGGCAAAACATCCATACTCATAATAAACAAATCAGATTTAAGTTAATAAGAGAAAGACACCTTCTGGCCTGAATGATACCAGGGAGCTGGCTAGTTGCAGGAGCAAAGTCCAGAGTGATACTGGGCTGCCTTGAACATTTAACAGGACAATAGCAAACTTAGATGCCCTCCACCACAGGCTTACTGAGCTACAGAGAGTGTCACTCAGGGTCCATACATCCTCCCAGGTACAGAGCCAGCACTGTGTTTTATGGAAGATGCCACAACAGATTCTATGCTTTCATTAATTCCACCTTCAGCCAGACTCCAGGCGGCACTGCAGGAATCCTCATACTACAAAGCATTCCAGCTCCCAGGAAAAGGAGAGCAGGACAAGCAAAGCGAGACAGGTCCTGCAGACATCATATCCTTAACCCCAAACCGATTCCAAAGGCACGAATCCCAGCTCTCACAAGGCTGGCGCGAAAGCCAAGGACAAGACCAGCATAGGCTATAAAGTGAAACTTGGATGCAAGAAAGGCAATAAATAAGTAAAACAGAGGCAATGGGCAGCGATGGCACATGCCTTTAAGTCCAGCACTCGGAAGGCAGAGGCAGGTAGATCTCGGAGTTTGAGGTCACCCTGGTCTACAGTGCTAGTTCCAGGACAGGTAGGGCTACACAGACACCCTGTCTTAAAAAAACAAAAAGACCACTAAAAGATAGATGTCATAACAAATAGATGTAAGAAATATACAAAATGGAGAGTAATTCAGAAAGATACCTAATATGGATAACTTGCTTCCACATACATGTGCATATACGTGCACACATGAACATGTGCTTATGGCCCTGCTAGGTCATCTTGCACCAAGGCCCCATCCACCAGCACATCATTTGAAAGTTGACAATCTATTTGCAGCAGACCCAAAGACAGGGACAATGACCTGCTGTGGCCTGAGTGAGTACCCAAAGAGCTGGCTCTCAAATGGCTCCCTTTGTAACGTTTCTACCAGCAGGAAATGGGACAAAGGTATCAATCCTTGCAGCGAGCTGAAGAAAGGCCCTGTACAAGCTCCAATAAACATTTTCTTGATAAGAAAATCAAGGTCAAGTGAGATTCTGCTGCGAGATTAAGGAAGTGAGGTAAGCCACTCAAGCAACCTGCAAGGGTCAGAAGGAGTGGAGTCAGGCTGGCGGCCTCCTGAGCTGCGGCCCACTTTCCACATAATGAGTGCTCTCTGACTTACGTGCTAGCCTTTCTACCAGGCCTGGCCACACTTGCTTTCTTTTCTTTATTTATTAATTTGGTTTTTTAAGACAAGGTTTCTCTGCATAGCCCTGGCTGTACTGGACTCACTCTGTAGACCAGGCTGACCTTGAACTCAGAGATCCACCTGAAACTCAGATTAAAGGTGTGCAGCACCACATCTATCTTGATGTTCATTCGATACTAAGACCCACAAGAGAACAGGGACACAGGAGAGTTAAGCAGTGGGCTTCCAGGTCACTCAGTCACCAAGGGCAGAGGCCACATCCCACAATTATTTTTACCTTTGCAGGAAGTGTGTGTGTGCAGGGCATTCATGCCACGGTATGAGGGTGGAGGTCAGGGAACCACCTCAGGCATCACCTGACTGAGACAGGATCTCACTACAACAGCTACAGGGCTAGCTGACCTGAGCGTCCAGGAATGTTCTCAGTCTCCACTTCCAATCTTGCTGTAGCAGCACTGGAGTTACAGGCACATGCTACCTTGTCTGGTTTTATGTGAGTTCTGCATTCAGGTCCCATCTCCCTGACCCCTGTCTTTAAAGCTTTCTTCCTTCAACAGCTTGGGAACTGAAAGCAGAGGATGGTGGGAACCCATCTATATGACACTGTCTCTCTCCTAAGATAAGGACTAAACTTTCCACTGCTTGGTGTCCTTCCCAGTGCATGCTCCTTGGAGGTCTCTGGTAAAGTCTTGTTAAATTCATGACTTGGATGTACCAGGCCAGAAGTTTCCTCTTTCAGTGGGCTGGTTCACATGTCTTTAAAGGGCTCTCCACTCTGTTAGGTCCACGCTCCGGTATCCTAGGGTTTCTCTGGGTCAAATCCAAAAGACCACAAAGCACTTCACAGCTCCACCTCCCTTGACAGCCATGTTTTGCACCCAAAGCATCTCAGCCAGGCCTCCTGGCCACAAACCCATTCTGTCACTTAGGAAAAATTATGCGATTGTAACTCTGACAGCCAGAGAGATGGCCCTGTGGGGTACAATGAGAAAAGTCACACATAAGACATTTGAGAACATATCTAAGTATCCAAGCTACATAAAGATCCATCAGCTGTTATTAGCTAGCGGGAAAAAGATTGTCTAGTCACCAGCCATCCTGGTGAAGTGAACTAAGAGCCCCGGTAATTGAAGCAGACCCAGGTAGGAGTGGACCCTGAAGCTCCTGGAGCTGGATGGCTTTTGCTGGGTTCCTCAACTCCCTCCTCCATACAACAGGAAGAAGGACACTGCCACCCAGCTCCCAGGAAAGGTACGATGGGACAGGAACAGGTTCTTCCCAGAAACTAAGGCCCAAGACTCCTATGCCAGAGAGTTCTAGTACAAGGGCCAGTGCAGCCGCACAGCCAATACGGAAGCAAGAGACCTAAACAAATGCTCTCTAGGAGGTCACAACTGTCCTTGAAGACAGGAAATGGCCTCTTCCAGGCTAGAACGTGAGGTTGAGAGCAAAGAGCTCCAGCTATCCAGCAGGGACAGCCACAAAAAAAAAAAAAAAAAAAAAGGAGCCTGCCTCTGCTGGGTACGGCTTAGACACAAGGTCAGTGTGATGCCCAGCATCCAAAACTCTCACTCTCGGGAGTCTGTCAGACAGCGCAGATGCCCTGCGGGCAGCGTACACTGCACCCCATCCCACCCCACCCCCACCGCGAGCGCGCCCCTTACTGAGCTGCTGTACAACACACACCAGCTAGCCTGGGCTTCCACTTTAGTGAACCGAAACCGCAGGGTAACCTTGAGGCTGCCCTCCCTGCCGTGAGGGGCGGGGGAGAGCGGGGTGAATGAGCTTGCTCATCAGCGCCAGCTTCCTTTGGGGACCCACATCTAAGCAGCACCCCCAAAGGAGCAAGACTGGGGAGGATGCGTAGGTTAGAACAATCCTTTACCCCTATTGTGTGAGATGACCCACTCACTCCCTTTTCCTGGGCAATAAAGCCTTTGAAGGGACGAGTTCTCCCTTCTCACACCTGCGCTCCTCTCAGCTGAGGCGGGGTTCTGAAGGAACAGCGGGTCCGGGCCCGCTCTCACGAAGGCACCCATCCATATGTGCTCCCACTGCGCTGGGCATCCTCCTCAACACCCTCTGGAGCCTGAGTTATCCTTTCCCAACCCCGCAGGAGGCTGAGCTCAGACTATAAGGCGCCGAGCCGAGCCCGGGGTGGGGCAAGCCCTGTAAGACGAACAAGAAGACGGAGGATAGACCCTTTGCCAATCTCCCTGTCCCAGTGTCCCTGCACTGCCCGGTCTACGAAGCCCGAGGCTCCTCAGGATTGCGGCCGCCGCCCTTGGGATGCAGCCAGAGGCCGGTGGGAGGAGCCGGCGAGCCGGCCGGGTTCTGCAGCAAGGCGGGGAGCATCCCTGAGGAGGGTACGCGGAGGTCCAGGGTGGGGACCGGGAAAAGGATCCAGGGCGGGGTCCCGGGAGAGGGTCCTGGACCTGGGTCCAAAGATAGGGTCCAGGGAGGGTTCCAGGGTCGGGGTCCCGGACGCGTGGAGCCTGGCAGGGCGGCCCAGGATGAGGGCGGCATCCTAGCGAGCCTAAGAGCGAGCATTGCCTCAGCCGGCCCCGGCCCGAGCGAGCGAGCGAGCGAGAAGGGTCGACTCGGGAGGCCTCCGTCTTACCGGCAGATCTGGATGGCGGACGGGGTGTCGGTGCCGGGGTCTGACATCGTCTCTGCTACGGCGGAGGACGGCGGGAGCTGAGAACAGGTGTCTAGCAGGCCCGGCGCCGAATGAATGAGCCTGGGAGGCGCCATAGAGGGGGAGGAAGAAGGCGGGGCCATGGCGCCGGAGAGGCGGGGCCTACGCAGAGGCGGCGAATCACAAGCGGACGCCCCCCGGAGGCCCCGCCCGCGCCCAGGCCCCTCCCCTCTCCCCTGCCCAGAGGCCTCCACGGCCCTCGGCGCCGGCGGGGGCGGCGAGCTCGGTCGGGCGCGGGGGCGGCCGTGGGACTCCACTTCCAGAAGGTTCGGTGGCCGTTGGGTGGCGCGAGCGCGGACGGACGCCCGCGAGCGAGGGCGCGCGCGCGCGCGCACCCCACGCGCCGGCGCCGAACAGGCGAGCGGCCGGTACCACGCAGGCCGGAGGCCGAGGAGCCGAGAGTCCCCCTCCGCCGAGCGTCTACGGGGCGTTCCTGGGCGCCCGCGCGGCGATTCGCTGCCCAGCCGGGACGGCCACCCGATGAGGTCACCGGGGGGGAGGCCCGACCCGGACGGGAACGGTGCCCGCGAGCCGCGCGCCGACCCGGGCGCCCGGCCTAGGCCTCCTGGACAGGCAGGCATTGGCTCCGGTAGCCGACCCGGAACCCGGGGGCCCTGTGGGCCGCAGACCCTCCCCTACCCCAGCACCGCCTCGGCTTACACTGCCCAGGTTGCCTCCAAAGAGACATCCCGGGACCCCCAAGCGCAAGCTGGGGGCAGCCGCTGCCCCAAAGGTGCCTAAGATGCGTAGAAATGGAGTCCGTCCAAGTCGCAGGCCACAGAAGCCACCAAAGAAGGGAAATGTTGACTCCCCTACCTATATCATTACAGGGTTTCTGCGACCTGTGCGGTTTCCCAAGAAAACCGACCCATTAACAGAACTTCGACCCACTTAACTAAAGCCCGCTAACCCTGAGAGAGCTGCCACTTCTGAATACCAGGTGCCAGCAGATGGAACTTAGTGATAAAAGCCTTGCCTAGCAGGCACATGTTACACACCCCAGCCTTCCCTGGGATTTCGCAATTATTATTAAAAGGGTTCAGTTTTTAGGGCTGAGAGTAGAGGGTTAGTGGCAGTGGCTTCTGCCCTGTGTTCTCCCAGCCAGCATTTACGCATAAATTGAGAAAGCCCTCCAGGGTTTAGGTACTGTTAAAATACCACCACTTCCCCTTATAGGGTCCAGATCTAAGAGGAAGGTATTGCTAAGCCTAGAGCTTTCCTTATTTACTAGTTGGGTCTCACAACACCCCCAAACCCCTGAGAGCATTAAGTCTGGCAGAATAATAGAATGGGATTTTCTGGGCTAGAGAGATACCTCAGAACTTAACTGCTGCTTTTGTCATTCGGTTCCTAAGTGCGCACACACGTAGTGGTACATCTGTAACGCTAGATCCAGGGGGCCCAATGCCTCTTTTGAGATTTTTCCGGCACCTGCCCATAACATACACTACACTTACACAAATGTTAGAAATAAAATGCGGTGGTGGCGCACGCCTTTAATCCCAGCACTTGGGAGGCCAAGGCAGGCGGATCTCTGAGTTCGAGGCCAGCATGGTCTACAAGAGCTAGTTCCAGGACAGCCAGGTCTTTTAAACAGAGAAATTCTGTCTCGAAAAAGAAAGAAAGAAAGAAAGAGAGAGAGAGAGAGAGAGAGAGAGAGAGAGAGAGAGAGAGAGAGAGAGAAAGAAAGGAAGGAAGGAAGAAAGGAAAGAAGAAAGAAAAAAGAAAAGGAAGGAAGGGAGGAAGGAAGAAAGAAAAAAGAAAAAAATGTGACTAGATCAGGGGGTTGTGACGTGCAGTTCTACAGTACAGAATAGTGTAGTGCCATTTATATAATGTTCTGAATGTTCTAAGCTATTGTGGAAACAGAACTACGGTTGCCAGCAGGGACAAAAGACTAGAAACAGGTGTGAGGGAAGGCTCTAGAGTGATAATAGTCCATGACTTTCTTGGGTGTGTTAGTCGGGTTCTCTAGAGTAACAACTTCCAGAGTAAATCTCTCTGTATATACAGAAAGGAACTTAGTAGAATGGTTTACAGGCTGTGGTCCAGCTAATCCAACAATGGCTGCCCGTGAGCCGGAAGTCCAAGAGTCCAGTAGCTGTTCACTCCAGGGTCTCAACTGGTCTCCAGTATAAACCCAAATCCTAAAGAAGTAGGCCCTAATGCCAGTGAAGTAATGGACTTGGAAGTGAGGCGAGAGCGAGCAAAGAGCAAATGCTTTCTCTTTCCATGTCCATATGTAAGCTTCCGTCAGAAGGCAGGGCCCAGATCAGAGGTAGGTCTTCCTACCTCAAAAGATCTGGATTAAAGGCATTTCTTCCTACCTCAAAAACCAAGATTAGAAGTGGATTGTCCCACTGCAAATTAAGCAAAATCCCTCACAGGTTTGTCATCCGTTTTGGGGTTTCAATTCATTCCAGATGTAGTTGACAGCCAAGAATAGCCAGCACATAGGTCTTAGGTAAGTTTTTAAAAACTCACAGAATGTAGAGCCAAATATATCTGCATCCTTAGAACTGTGTGTAAACTTCTCAAAAAAATTGTCACCTGTGCCGGCACACAAAAATATTGTGAACAGATACAAATTCTAGCACAGCTACACTCTGAAGTACTGTTTTGCCCCTTAGCTTCACTTGGAATGCATCAAAGAAATAAGGTTTCCAGGTGGGTATAGAGATGGCACGCTGGTTAAATTTTGTCAACTTGTCACAAACTAGAATCACCTGGGAAGAGGGAAGCCGAATTGGGGAATTGTCTCCATCACAGTGGTCTGTGGGCATGCAGGAGATCCCTCTTTGGGCTAACACTCCCTCCGTTGCTAAGCGACAGTGCTGGTGGGTGTGCTCTGGTCTTTGCAGCCTCTTACTTCCTCTTAGAGATAGCTTTCTGGTGTCTTCTCAAACTACTAGACCCTTCCTATCCCTCAGTGTCAGCAGAACTCAGAAATGCTGCTTGCAAGCCCAGCCCCTGCCCTCCCGTCCTCCCAGTCCCCACTGAGATCACTCCATCTAGATTGTTCTCCTTACCACAGCACTTCAATTCCTTCCCATTCAGTAAGCCCTAAAATTCCTGACTCACCCCGTGATCTCTTTGCTCTGGGAGCACTCTCTCTTCTAGGTTCTCCCTCCACACCCCACACCTGTCTTCACCCCCCCATGGCCAAATTCTTCCTTCTGCTCTGCTCTCTTCCACTCCCTCTCCAGCGTCCACCCCAGAACAGCCTTCTGCTTCCCGCTCTGTCCTCATGATTTAACTCTCCTCTATATGACACACAGCTGATTCCAGAGTCATATGAGTGTGCTGGAAAAGGTGTTTTCATTTTTGCTGTGGGCTGAAGAAGGGGTGCTGTGATTGGTGTAATAAAAAGCTGAACGGTCAATAGCTAGGAGAAGAATGTGGGCAGAACTTCCAGGCAGAGAGAGAACTCTGGGAAGAAGAAAGGCAGAGTCGCCAGCCAGAGGAAGCAGGATGAGCAGGACGGAGATGAAGTAATGTACCTCATGGAAGAATGTAGACTTAAAAAATTACGAGTTAAGTTATAAGAACTAGTTAGGAACAAACCTAAGCTACAGCCAAGACTTTATAATTAATAATTAAGTCTACAAGTCATAATTTTCAGACTGTCTGCACCTTCAAAAAAGTACTACAATGAATTTTTTAAGTATCGAAACAATATCAATATATAACCCATCATCATATCATTTGTGCCCCGGCAATGCCGAAGCCTGCATGGGCAGCCCGTTTATGGCGGTTTTCCACTTGTTCCTGTCCTGGGCAATCCTAGATGCCTGTGTTATTTCATGCCCAAGTTCCAGTCTTCCTCTATGCTGTCTGTCTGTGCTTTCTGGGCCTTCCCCTTCCCTTATCCCGTGCACTCCTCCAAGCAGTGCTGTCTTCAGGTATCTGCGTCATTCATTCTCACAGCACGGCCGAAGTAGCTCAAGCACTGTTGCCGTATCCTGTAGTTCACTTCCTTCTGTAGATGGAGACGTCTCTTAATGTCATCACTGTGCAGCCTGTCCCAGTGTGATGCCTAGAGTCCTGCTGAGCCGTTCCATCTCATACACATGCAGTCGCTGTTCTGAGGAGGAGACCTGCTCAGTCGTCCTCATCAGCTCAGACCATGAAACCCTGTATGGAAGCCAGGTGGTGATGGCGCAGGCCTTTAATCCCAGCACTCGGGAGGCAGAGGCAGGGGGATCTCTGTGAGTTCGAGACCAGACTGGTCTACAAGAGCTAGTTCCAGGACAGGCTCCAAAGCCACAGAGAAACCCTGTCTCCAAAAACAAAACAACAAACAAACAAAAGAAACCCAGTGTGGGATATGTAATCCAGGTCAGCATCAAACTCTCTATCCTTCTGTGTCAATTTTCCAGATGTTGAGACACAGGAAATCATGTTTCTCCAGCACTGTGGGGCTGTAGAAATAGCTTAACTGCAAGCAGCATTGGCTGCTCTTTCCAAAGTTCCCAGCCCCAGGAGAGGGGCTCGCAACCTTCTCTAACTCCAGCTCCAGGGAGTCCAGTGCCCTCTCCTGGGCCCCTTACGCATTGCACCCACCTAGCAGGCTTGCTTCCATGCGCAGAAGACACCCATGCACATAATAACTTGTAAAGGCTTACCTCACTCAGGATAATGTTTTCTATTTCCGTCTATTTGTATGCAAAATTCAAGAAGTCGTTTTTTACTGCTGAGTAGTACTCTAATATGTATATATTCCATACTTTCTTCATCCATTCTTCCATTGAAGGGCATCTAGGTTGTTTCCAGGTTCTGGCTATTACAAACAATGCTGCTATGAACATAGTTGAGCATATACTTTTGTTGTATGATAGGGCATCTCTTGGGAATATTCCCAAGAGTGGTATTGCTGGGTCCAGGGGTAGGTTGATCCCAAATTTCCTGAGAAACCGCCACACTGCTTTCCAAAGTGGTTGCAAAGAGGAACATGGGATGTATTCACTCATATTTGGTTTCTAACCGTAAATAAAGGACATTGGGCCTATAATTCGTGATCCTAGAGAATCTAAATAAGAAGGTGAACCCAAAGAAAAACATATAGGCATCCTCCTGAATATTAACCTTCATCAGGCAGTGAAAGGAGACAGACAGAGACCCACATTGGAGAACCGGACTGAAATCTCAAGGTTCAAATCAGGAGCAGAAGGAGAGAGAGCACAAGCAAGGAACTCAGGACCACGAGGGGTGCACCCACACACTGAGACAATGGGAATGTTCTATTGGGAACTCACCAAGGCCAGCTGGCCCGGGTCTGAAAAATCATGGGATAAAACAGGTCTCGCTGAACATAGCGGACAATGAGGACTACTGAGAACTCAAGAACAATGGCAATGGGTTTTTGATCCTACTGCACGTACTGGCTTTGTGGGAGCCTAGGCAGTTTGGATGCTCACCTTACTAGACCTGGATGGAGGT